GGTAGAGCTTTTGCTTCAACCTTACTGGCAGGTCTCCCCCTTCCACTGCAGTCCCCCTGCTCTGTTGCCTCTGTGTCCCTCCACTTCTCCCAGATCACCCTCCTTACTACTCACTCTTCATTCAGCCATGTGCCTCCTTTCTGCCTTCACTTCTGTCTCTCCCTTTCTCTTTAACCCTTACTTCTGTCTACTTTCCCCCCAAAGCCATTGGTAGAAAGGGTCCTCTGATCCCCTTAACAGGAGGAGCCCTATAAGAGCCACCTTGAGCACCACTCTTCCCCCAGCCTGGCTGCAGGGGTCCCCCGCAGCTGTGCCCACCCTGCCCTCTCTCACCAGCTCGAAGTGTCTCAGCTGGAGGGCAGCCTGCAGCAGCCCAAGGCCCAGTCAGCTATGTCTCCCTACCTCGTCCCCGACACCCAGGCCCTCTGCCACCATCTCCCTGTCATCCGCCAACTGGCCACCAGTGGCCGCTTCATTGTCATCATCCCAAGGACAGGTAAGTACATTGGAGAGATAAGGGGACAGATAGAGTATGGCTAAAGGAGATTCTGGGCTTGGGATTAGGAGACCTTATTTGGGCCCAGTTTATACACAGTCACCTTGGTCAAGTCTTAGCACCTTTATGAACCCGTCACTTCATCTGTGAAATGGACATAACAATCCCTGTTCTGCCTCACAAGACAGTTGGGAGAAACAGACAGTGTAAGTGAATATAATGTGAAAGCACTTGGTAAATTGCCAGGTATATTGCTGGCAGAAGGTCACATTTTCAGAGAACTTTGGGAGCCCTCTCTGGAGCCAGGGTCCCTTCTCTGCCTGAAGAGTGTACTGAGGTGAGCTCAGATACTTCCTCCAGAGCCTCTTGTCACAGCAGTCGGAGCTTATCTGTTTTGTCCTTTCCTACCCCGACCTTGCCCACCAGTGATCGATGGCCTGGATTTGCTGAAGAAGGAACACCCAGGGGCCCGGGATGGGATTCGGTACCTGGAGGCAGAGTTTAAAAAAGGAAACAGGTGGGTGCAGGCCTGGCTGGACCTGTGCTGAGCCCTGGGTCTGTCTTTCGGACGACACATGCTTATGAGCTGCTTGCTCCCTATGGGTAAGACACATACATACCCATCTCTACTCACAGTCAGCTCACTGCGTGGGGAGTGATACCAGAGATAATCAGAAGTCATGGTTGTAGGTGCTGAAATAGAGGGTCACCAAAGGGAGCCCTGTGGGTAGCACTGAGCTGCTGTCCTTCGTCTGCGACAGGCCTGTGATCAGCACCCACTGGGGAGAAGGGAGCAGACCTTCCCCCAGCTTTAGACTTTATAGGAATTTCTCCTGCTTTAGGGTTGGGACAGGTGATCAGGTTTCTCAGAGTGTGAGGGCCTTCTTCCAGGCTGCCCAGGGGCTTCCCACCTCCCCGCTGAGCTGAGAGTGGTGAGACTGAAGCCAGCCAGGGAGGGGCAGCTGGCAGCATGTAGCAGATGCTGAGCCAGTACAGGCCTGCCCTTCTGGCCTTTGGGGCCGGAGGAGGACTAGGCAGAGGGTGTAGGGAATAAGAAGAAAGCTTCCTTTTCCCTGCTAGCTGGCCCACCCCCTCCTCTGCATCTGCTCTGCCTGGCCAGGAAGCTGCACAAGGCCTGATTGTTTGGACCTTGTCTCCAGAAGCCCTGACTTGAAAAGCATCTGCCGCTTCTCCCCTCTCAGCTCCTCCCCTGAGAGGAACCAAATAATTGATGTTATCAGGAGAAAAAGTGAGCTGGGCCCAGCAGCCAGGAAGCCACTTAAGAATCGCTCCAAACAAAGCTGTGGTGGGAGAGACATGTTCCCCACCCCCACCTGCAAAACCAGGCCCCCAGAGCCACAATGGACTTGTTCATGTAAGGCGCCCTGCCAGTCCCCTGCTCCTGACCTCCACTCGCACATCTCCTCTGCAGGTACATTCGCTGCCAGAAAGAGGTGGGAAAGAGCTTTGAGCGGCATAAGCTGAAGAGGCAGGATGCAGATGCCTGGTAACAGTTTAGCCCTCACCCCTAGAACCTCAGTCAAGCCACCTGCCTTGCTTCTCCATGAGCATTCCTAGGGAGAAGGGGAAGGGCTGGAGAATTCTGAGGCTCCACACATAGCCTGCCGCCCTCCTGCAGGCCTCACCTTGCAGGGAGTACGAAGTTGCCCCAGCACCTGAGCTTTTCCTCTGTAGGCAGATGGATCAGCCTCTTCGGGCCTTGCGATGCTCAGGCTTGGTGTTTTCCCTCGTCGCACCTTTGCCGGCTCCCCATAGTGTCTCCAGGGCCAGCTTCCAGGGCCCACTGCCGCTTGCTGCCCTTCCAGCCCCCAGCTGCCCCTGTCCCCTGGAGATCCTGGTGTTTGGGCTGTGCTAATGCTGGGTCTTGGCCCATCTTCCCCTCCACCCCCCATCCCCAGGACTCTCTATAAGATCCTAGACAGCTGCAAACAGCTGACTCTGGCCCAGGGGGCAGGTGAGGAGGATCCGAGCGGCATGGTGACCATCATCACAGGCCTTCCACTGGACAACCCCAGTGTGCTTTCAGGCCCCATGCAGGTGGGTCATGGGTGAGGTGGGGGGATGGTGTGGAATAGGGATGAGGTACCAGAGCAGACTCCATCCCCAGACCCTCCACATAGCTGCATTTTTCTCTTCCATCACTCCTTCCCCAGCGCCTCAATGATTTGCTCCTGAGTTCAGGAGGTCAGACCCTCTCCATCTTTCTTCCTCCCATTCCACAGGCAGCCCTGCAGGCCGCTGCCCACGCCAGCGTGGACATCAAGAATGTTCTGGACTTCTACAAGCAGTGGAAGGAGATTGGTTGATACTGACCCCCAGGCCCTGCAGTGGGGCTGACTCCAGATCTCTCCTGCCCTCCCTGGCAGCCAGGACCAGCGCCTGTAGTCACCCCACCACACGCAGACTCATGCACGCACACAGGAGGGAGGCCTAGCTGCTCAGAGGCTGCAGGGAGGGCCCAGGAGCCGGCTGGGAGGGTGGGGTCCCTTTGTTGCCAAGACGTTAGGAAAGCGAGGAAAGTGCTTGGATTAGGAGAGTCTTGTGGGCCCCTGGCCAGCCTTCCTGCCTCAGCTCCCCTGCTGTCTCCAGGGGCAGGTGGCAGGCATGGGTACCTGCATTTCACTGGAGTGGATTCTTGGATCTCTGAGGGGAAGGAACAGCAGAAAAGGCCCTTCTTCCTCACCCAAGATGCAGAGTGGTTGGGGCCAGGAGTTTGGACCCTCCAGTTCTTGGGGGAAGAGCCGGGTAATACCTGGTGTCTGAGTGATTCTCTGCAGACCCTTCCCCTCCTCAAGGATCACCCATCCTCCTTTCAGCCCCCTTTATGGGGACCAGGCAGCTCTGGAGCCAGCCACAGGGGCTCTTAGAGAAGCAAGGCCTGGTGTGGCCTGCACCGAATACCAGGGTCAGGGTTCGTGTGCTCCTCCTCCTGCCACAGGGGCTGTACATCCCATTGCCCCACTTCTGCTTTCTGTCTCCCTCTGTCTAGCTTCCAGGGCAGGGAGCAGGCCCCACCTAGGGCTGCGGGCAGTCTGGCCTGTGCCAGCATGGGCTCCTGTGCCCACCGGCCCCACAGGTGCTGTGCTTTGTGCTCTTGGCTGCTGTGCTGGGACAGAATGGGATGTCAGGAAGAGAAGAAGGGGGGTGCAGTCTGAGGCCGCCACCCCGCTTCCTATCTAAGGGAGGGCTGAAGACAAGGGGCTGGCATTCAGTGGGCAGCAGAAAGGAGAGGCCCCTTGAAGCTGCTCAGTCAGAGCCCTCTGTCCCTCCTTTTGCCCTCCCCAGGACTAAAGACCTGAAGGGGCTGAGCGTGGGGCTGGCTTTTGGAGTGTGGAGGTGAATATGTGGGAGCAGAGATCATGAATAGCTCAGGGCAGTGAATGGCGCACCAAGAGCAGGGCTGTGTGTGGGAGGCTGAGGCCAGAATTGCCTCAGCTCCTCCCCCTCAGGCTGGGAGGATAGCACAGGCTGGGGGCTGGGGGTGGAGGGTCTCAGCTCTGCTGCCCCCACCCCAGTACTAGCCTAGCTTCCCAAGCTGTGGCTTAGAGGATAGTTGGCTTCCTGCCTCTTTCCTCTAAAACAGCAAGTCTGGGAAATCCTGGGGTGAGTGGAGTCACCCCACCCCCAGTTGCTGGCAGAGACTGAGACTAAAGCATCACTTAATAAACCCCCCAAGCCCAGTCCCTGTCTCCTGGTGCCTGTCTGTACAGAAGTTTCATGGGGAGGTGGGACATTGAAGATGGCGTCCTGAAATGCATTTTGGAAAGACTTCTTTGAAGTGGATGGAACAGAACAAGAAGCAGGCAATTTGAGTGAAAGCCCTGGAGATGGTTTGATAGACACTGTCAAGCTCCTTGACCCTGTAAACTGAGGCGGTGCCTTTGCAGGGGTGATAGTGAAAATCTCCTGCCAGCAACATCACTGCCTGGGGTTGGTTCGCTGTCACCAGCTGGGTCCTCTTCCTCAAGGGGGTGGGGGAGGTGAGCCTTGAAACCAGCCTCTGAGTCCTCAAGTGCCTGTCCTGCAAAGATTGGCACTTCAAATTGTGTTCGGGTGGGGATGGGGAGGTGGTGAGCCTGGTGAATCCCGCGTGGTAGAACCAACATTTACCAAAGGCAGTTTGCTCTGAGCCCTACCCAGCACCAGGTGCTAAAAGGCAGCAAAGCACTGTGAGAGATGGCTTCTGAAATAGGTTCCGCATTTGGGGATTTGGGTTCCTCTGCCAACCTAAGGCAGAGCTGTCCTTAACTGCTGGGAGAACCTGGAACAAGAAAACTGCTCTGAGTCGCCGGGGGGACTCTACAGCACCGTGGCCACATCCTGGCTTGGGCCCCTGGCCTATTCTAGCCAGTCAGCACAGGGAGTTTGGGTTGTGCTGGAGGAGCTGGCTGTGTGCAGGCGGCCGAGTGAGCTGCCTGCTAATGGGGCTGGGCCACCCCGTGCTGCTCCCTGGAGGCTGGACAAGGCTGGGATTGTTCCCTGGCCCCCCTTTGTCTCCCCACTCCCCGCCCAGGCCTGGCCCCTCTCCTCCATCAGCCTGGCTGGCAGCAGCCTCGGACTCCGCCCGTGGAGCCCTGGGCCTGCTGACCCACCAGCTTAGGAGCACCCGCCAAGCTCTGGGTAAGGAAGCTCACCTTCTGGGGCTCTGACACCACCTCTCTGGGGAAATAGAGGTAAAGCACCTTGCTCCAGCCGTCCCTCCCCCATTTCCACAGCAACTGCACACACCCCACTCCAGCGATCTCCAAACCCTACTACTAAGGGAAGGCACCGTGAGGGGAGCTAGACCCCAGTGTATTCCTCACTCCTTCCCCAGATAGATGGGTAGCACTCAGGATAGGGGAGAACTCCCCCATCCCACTTGTGGGAGCAAGCAAGGGATACCCTGGGAGGCCCTCATCCATCTTTGTTCTGCTGGGGTGCAGGGACTAGGGCCAGGTTTGCCCTGTGCCCAGCAGGGTCTCCAGCACCCATCTCAGGGGCAGAGGCTGGGGGAGTGACTGCTGGTGCAAGCCCCAGAGTGCATGCAGCAAAAACACGGATGCATTGCTGGTGGCAGGAAGAGGAGGGACTAGGCTCTAGAGTTGCTGCAAAGTTTTGGCCTGAGTTGGTGGGGGGAGTGTCCTAATCCTCCTCCTGGGGCAGCTCCGCCTGCCCGGCTGGCCCAGCCCCTCCACTTGTGCCAAGGAATGTGCTGGGAGAGGCCAGCAGGGCAGCAGAGCCGCGGCCACCTGGAGGCAGTGCACAGGTCTGGGGCTGAGGGATATGGGGCTTAGGAGGGGCAGGGACCCCAAAACTCTCCTGGGAGGCACAAGTGTCGTCCTCAGAGAAAAGCCAGGCATCCCCCAACTCCTTGTCCCACCTGATGGCATCTGGCTTCTCCAGAGATTCTGAGTGCCAAGAGTATTCTGTGCTCAGCTCGGGCACTGTGGGCGAAGCACATTCTGGTGGGGCAGGGAGTGGTACCCGGGCTGTCTCTGTGCTGGCCTCCAGGAGTCAGGGTTCTTCCCAAGACACAAACTGGGAGCCTGGGGGTTTGGATCACTATTTGGGGCAGCCTCCCGGCTGGGAGGACCCCACAGGCCGCCAAGCCCCTCAGTGTGGGGACTGAATGCCCCAAGGAGAACAGGGGTTGGAGTTAAGCGGTGCAAGGGCTGGGGAAGGTGGACCAGCCTCCCTGGGCCTGAAGGAAGCAGCTCCAGGAGGGAGGGTGCCATCTGCCTCCCACACGTGCTGCCCATCCTGGGGCTGAACCCAGGTGAAAGGGGCCTGTGGATGGGGGCAGATACCTGATCCCCTATCCCCTGCTCTGTCTCTAGGTCAACGTGGAGGTGCCAGGCCACCATGCTCAGTCTCAAGCTGCCCCAACTTCTTCAAGTCCACCAGGTCCCCCGGGTGAGGGGCTCCACTCACTGACCCACCAACCCCCATTCCCTAGAGGACTGACTAGGGGCTGACATTCTCTTTTAGCTATTGGGGCAGCCCCTCCTGCAGGCGAACTCTTACTCTCCCTTTCCAGTGTGAGGCTCTTCCTCTCTTCTCTGAGGAACAAGCTTGTGGCCCTCCATCTGGAGTCCCCTTCCCCAGAGCGCCCTGTGTGCTGCGCCCCACCCCCACTCCACCCCACTCTGGCTCTTCGGTTTCCCATCTGTTTTGCGGGTTGTGGGTGCTGGGACCTGTGGTAAGATCAGATCAGATTTAGTTTGGTTTGGGGGCCACGTTGGTCTCCAGCCCAGCCTCTTTAACCCTGCTTCCAGAGATCTCAAATGGAGGGAAAGGGTCGGGGCACAGTGACGCCCCTCCTCTCCCACCACTACCTTAGGTGTTCTGGGAAGATGGCATCATGTCTGGCTACCGCCGCCCCACCAGCTCGGCTTTGGACTGTGTTCTCAGCTCCTTCCAGATGACCAACGAGACGGTCAACATCTGGACTCACTTCGTGCCCACCTGGTGAGGGGAGGCTCTGCCCCAGGCCGCGGCCTTGAGCTCAGAGGGGGTACCCAGGCGGGCAGGGACCGTCCAGGCCCACGGGCTGCAGCAGCAGTCGCGGGGGTCCGCGGCGGCCTGAGCACGCGCCCGCCGCAGGTACTTCCTGTGGCGGCTCCTGGCGCTGGCAGGCGGCCCCGGCTTCCGCGCGGAGCCGTACCACTGGCCGCTGCTGGTCTTCCTGCTGCCCGCCTGCCTCTACCCGTTCGCGTCGTGCTGCGCGCACACCTTCAGCTCCATGTCGCCCCGCGCGCGCCACATCTGCTACTTCCTGGACTACGGCGCGCTCAGCCTCTACAGCCTGGGTGAGCCGGACAGGCGCGGGAGCGCGGGAGCGCGGGGTCTGGGCGTCCCGGAGCAGGTCGAGGGGTGGTACACGGGACATAGGGGCGTGCCCCTCAGGCCTCAGCTGCACGCCCCCACCTCACCGCAGGCTGCGCCTTCCCCTATGCCGCCTACTCCATGCCGGCCTCCTGGCTGCACGGCCGCCTGCACCAGTTCTTTGTGCCTGCCGCCGCACTCAACTCCTTCTTGTGCACCGGCCTCTCCTGCTACTCCCGGTGGGTTCCCAGGCCCCTCCGGTGGGGACGGGGAAGGCGGAGGCACAGGAGAGGACACACCTCACTGCTCTCAAACAGCATTAGTGACATCGGGACCATGTACTGAGGACTTCCTCTGTCAGACCCTGTATGCTCACACCCATGCTGTCTCCTTTAATTCTCACAAGCCACCATAAAAGGCGGATGTCTTTATCCCCACATACAGATGTGGTCCTTTACACAGGTCATATGCCCTAAGGGTTTTCTTAGCTGCAGGCTGTGCTGATATTCCATCTTTGCCCAAGTCCTCTCGCCTTTCCTGACCCCTACCCTGAGCACAGCGATGGTGACTAGCCTTTTCCTCCCGCCTCCCAGTTTCCTGGAGCTGGAAAGTCCTGGGCTCAGTAAGGTTCTCCGCACAGCAGCCTTCGCCTATCCCTTCCTGTTCGACAACCTCCCACTCTTTTATCGGGTAAGGAGGCCTGGGGCCCCTGCCCAGACACCTGCTTTCCTGTCCAGACCCTCAAAGTGCCCACTTCCAGCCTTGCCCCCTCAGTCCCTGCCTCAGCCCAGCCGCCTCTCTTCTGGTCCAGCACCCTGCCTAGCTGTGCCCGCCCGCTCTGCATCCTCACCAGATCCCAGACACTCCCTATGTTTTGGCTCCCAAGTCCCTCTCCAGCAGTCTCTTTTCCTTTGCCAGCTCGGGCTGTGCTGGGGCAGGGGCCACAGCTGTGGGCAGGAGGCCCTGAGCACCAGTCATGGCTACCACCTCTTCTGTGCGCTGCTCACTGGCTTCCTCTTCGCCTCCCACCTGCCTGAAAGGCTGGCACCAGGACGCTTTGACTACATCGGTGAGGGCACGCCTGGCCCGGCCCGGGAAGAGGCAGGGGCAGATGGCTTCCCAGAGCACAGAATGAACTGGGTAAATGGGTATTACAACCCCAGGATGGAGACAAATTATAGGAGGGACTTCCCTGTCTTCCTCTAACGAGAGCATCACTGGAAGGGTCCTCCACCTGCCACTTCTCAGGTAGCAAAACTAGTAGCATGTGTGCTGGGGCCACATGCACAAATGCTCATTCACTCCTTTCAGTCACTCTGGGAGTCAGGGTTTCTTAATTCTCAATAGGGGAGTAGCAGGCCCAGAGGATGGGGTAACTTGCACTGGGAAAGGTGTGGCTCTGACCTGCCCATCCTCTCCACAGGCCACAGCCACCAGCTATTCCACATCTGTGCAGTGCTGGGCACCCACTTCCAGCTGGAGGCAGTGCTGGCTGATATGGGATCGCGCAGAGCCTGGCTGGCCACACAGGAACCTACCCTGGGCCTGGCAGGCACAGTGGCCACACTGGTCTTGGCTGTAGCCGGGAACCTACTCATCATTGCTGCTTTCACAGCCTCCCTGCTTCGGGCCCCCGGTACATGTCCTCTGCTGCACGGTGGCCCACTGGAGGGGGGTCCTCAGGCCAAACAACAGTGACGCCCCATCCCTGACCCTGCCCTGGAGGGGGCAGAGGCCAGGCCCCCGTGCTGAGGAGGAGCCCAGAGTTGGGCCTAATCAGGTGGGGACACATCTCAGCTTGGAACCAACAGGGGCTGAGGAGAGAGGGCAGAGGAGAGAGGGCTGAGGAGAGAGGGCAGAGGAGAGAGGGCAGAGGAGAGGAGGGGTGTCTAGGGGGAATGGCAGAGCGTGAGAGGGACCGTGAAGGGCTGTTGATGGGAGTAGAGGAAGTGCTGAGGGTCTTGGGAGGGGAGATGCATGCGTGTCCAGGCTGAAGATGCCCCCACACTCTGTCAAAGGTTGGGGCCGGGAGGTGTTGGGGTCCTTTCATCTGGCTCCATTTCTGGTGCTCCTGAAGTCTCTGCTCAGCACAGGGAAGAACTAACACGACTAACCTAGGCCTACCCCAAATGCTTCTTCCTAACCAGGCCGAGAGGCCACACACTTGCCCCCCATCCCCACAAACCAGGTAATGCCAGTTTGCCAGCAGCTATTTGCCTATAGAGATGAGTCTGTCCTGGTCATAACTGTGTACTCAAGGTGTCCAGGCTTCTGGGGGTGGGCCTATCTGGGTGCATTATGGATGGTTCAGTGGATTGAGGTGTGGGGAGGAGGGTCCTAGGCTAGAGGGGGGATCCCTAGTTAAGACTTTAGGAAGCCACCTTCAATGTTTTCTGGAACAAGGCAGGTACAAATTAAAAAATAAAACTTTGGAAAGCACTTTCTAGAACTGAAGAAGGTAAAACCTCCTCACCCCCATCCTCCTGACACCTCCCTCCCACACTCCATAAACTGGACAGATTCACAGGCTCACGGATTCCTCTTTTGGAGTTTATTTGGGAGCAGCTGGATGATGGGGACCCCACATCCATAGGGCTGGGAGGTCAGGGCAAGGGCAAGGGCAAGGGCAAGGGGAAAGAAGGGGGCCTGGAGAGGAGCAGAACTGGGTTTGCCGGCCAGGCCAGCGGAGCAACACCCTAGACCGGGCCGTAGAAGCGCCGATAGGCCTCCTGGAAGCCGATGTGGTCAGCCAGCTCGTCACAGTCCGGATTGAGCTCACACACCTCCCTCTTGGGCTCCAGGGGATCTGGGTAGGGGGCTGGGGCTCTGAGACACCCGACGTGGTGGCATCAGCCCCCGTGCAAAATGCCCATCCCTCCTCTCACTACACATGGGGCCCAGGGTCCCCACCAGGGCTGGCTGCCTGTTCCCCCACCACAGCCCAGAGAGGCCACTCCCTGCTGCAGCTCCCCCACAGACCATCCCAGAGAGGCAGGGCCTTGGCCCAGCTCCACCTTTTCTCTCACCCCAGCCATTGATACAGGTAGCGCCTGGGTCTCTTCACCACCTCGCTGCCCTCCTGCTTGGACACAAAGGCTGTGGAGCAGAGGGGCAGGAATCAGGTGGCTCTGGGTTTGGGAGGATCAGGTTGGCAGCAGGCTGGCCTTCCTGACAGCCAGACAGGAGGTGGCAGGAGTAAGGGAATGAGACTGAGGGACCAAGGTGAGAAGGGAGGGTCCAGGAGCCCATCAGGTCCATCCTCATACCTGCACCTTTGCTGGACTCTGCACCGCTGGGTTTCGCACCTGCAAAGGAAAGGGAGCCTGGTTCACCCCTGCTCATCCCCAGGGCTCTCATCCTCCTTCCCCTGTGTCTCGGGCAGCTTGCTCTTCCTTCCTCTCCCTCTGCAAGGGCAGAGCTGGGGCAAATGGATTGAGCCTGCAACAGGGTGATTAGACTGCAAAGGGACTGCCAGCCAAAGGGGTGAGAAGAGGTGGGCCATGGTGCTTCCTTTTCTCAGCCCCCACTGCTGTGCGGCCTGAGGGGAGGTGGGGGCACTCACCTGCCTGGCCAGTGATGCAAAGTGTGGCCAGGGCCAGCAGGGCGAGCAGTGTGAGGGCTCTCATGGCGTCTCGGTGGCTGTGTTGGGCTCCTGCTCAGGACTCAGCTGGCCTGCCCCGCCAGCCTCCAGCACTGTTTATACCCTCTGGGCTGTGTCCCGGCGATGAGGAGGGGCGTGCCTGACCATGGTACAGGCGGGTCTAGGGGGAATCTGCCAGGGCTATTTGAGGGTCATCCGCCCCAGCTCCGTAGGCCAAACCCCAAAGGATACTGTGGTTGGGAGCTGCGGCTGCCAGGCCAGGGGCCACTGGGAGTGATGGAGGGTGAGCCACAATCAGACTGCCTGGCTCTTGACACTGCCTCTGGCCCCTTCCTCAGGGGGCAGCCTGAGACCCCTCAGCCCCGACTCACTCTTCTTCAGAGACCCCCAGCCTCAAGTTGAGCACTGGCTGAGCTCTAAGGAGATTCTAAAGAGGAAGCAGGGGTCAGAGACCTAAAATAGGTTCAAGCAGAGCTGGGCTCCAGCTCTCTCACAGCCTGTGATTTCTACTGTCAGCCCCGTAGGCAGGAGCCAAACCCAGGGAGGGGATGCCTCGCAATGCCCTCGTTCACCCGGTGAGACACCAAAGGCAGTCTGCTGTGGGCGCAGCTCGATGGCTCAGGCCCTGCACATCCGGACAGGAGAAAGGGTCGGGCGGCACAAGACCAAGAGCCAAAGCCAGTGGAGGTGGGGCTGGGCAGATGAGGTCAACTGGTTGGTCTCTGGGACACACTAGGTGGCTGTGACTGCCAGGTACACAGGCACAGGGCAGGGAGGCAGGCACTCACTGAGGTGGGGAACCCCTTCCCCGTGCCCTTAGCAGGCAGAGAGGCAGGGCCTGAGGAGCATGGAGATGGAGTGTGCCTCTGCCCTCCCGGTCCCCCCGATTCTCCTTCTGACCCTGCAGCCTCCACAGTGTTAACCACCCTGGGGAGGGACCTGCCCTCCTGTAGTGTTCCTGTAAGCGATAGGAAGGCCTGTCCTCTATGGTACAGAACATCCCAGCCTGAAAACCCCATCCCACACCTGAGAGCCTCCACTGCCTCAGGTCAGCCTAGAGAGGAAAGAGGTGTCCTGGGACCTTCCCCTGTCTAACCTGTGTCACTCACCCACCCACCCACCCACCAGGGCTTGAGACCATCTGCCCAACCTGACAAGTAAACAAAGCACCCAACGGGGCAGGCCTGACAGGAGCAGGGCATTTGAATGCTTGAATGCCACAGCTCCATGGTAACAAAGTGGGCAGAGGGAGACTGAGCTGAGTGCTGTTTATGGGATGGGGGAAGTGGGGGCCACCTGATGCTTGCCTATGTCCCCAGTGTGCCTCTGGCAGACCTCACCAAAGCCCTCACTAGGGAAAAGTTCTGCCCCCATCCACACCAAACCCCTTTCCCCCTCTGGTGGATCCAGGAAGCACCCATCCTGCCTTTGGCTGCCCTGGCAGAAGAAGAATGAAGTGGAAGAAGCAAGAGAAACAAAGTGCCCGCGATTCTTTTTTTTTTGAGACGGAGTCTTGCTCTGTCGCCCAGGCAGGAGTACAATGGCACCATCTCGGCTCACTGCAACCTCTGCCTCCCAGGTTCAAGCAATTCTCCTGCCTCAGCCTCTCGAGTAGCTGGGATTAGAGGCAAGTTCTAATGCCCAGCTAATTTTTTTTTTGAGATGGAGTTTCACTCTTGTTGCCCAGGCTGGAGTGCAGTGGTGCAATCTTGGCTCACTGCAACCTCCACCTCCCGGGTTCAAGTGACTCTCCTGCCTCAGCCCCCCGAGTAGCTAGGATTACAGGCACACGCCACCATGCCTGGCTAATTTTATATTTTTAGTAGATATGGGGTTTCACCATTTAGCCAGGCTGGTCTCGAACTCCTGACCTCAGGTGATCTGCCCACCTCAGCCTCCCAAAGTGCTAGGATTACAGGCATGAGCCACTGCACCTGGCCTAATTTTGTATTTTTAGTAGAGACAGGGTTTCACCATGTTGGCCAGGCTGGTCTCGAACTCCTGACCTCAGGTGATTCACTCTGGGCCTCCCAAAGTGCTGGGATTACAGGCATGAGCCACCGCGCCCGGCCGTAATGATTCTTGGAGGGTGCCAAGAGTGACACCTCCTTGGCAGCTCATCCTATCCACAGGGAACCCAGGGGTCCTAGTTTTTGTACAAGGGGCTCTGCTGCTCTCCACACATGGTCTGGTAAGCCCCTTGCCAACCCACCCCCGCCTGGAGGCTCCCAGAGGACCACGACTGAAGACTTGACTTGGCCCAAGAGAGGCCAGGCAGAGGAAGCATCCTCACAGATTACAGTGTAGTGGAGGAAGTTTATTTACAGATGTGGGGAGAACATGGTAAAGGCCCCTGGGCTGGGCAGCAAGGGGGCAATCAGTGGAGATTGAAAACAGATTCTCCAAGCCAGGCCCAGGGAAAAGGGCTCAGGAACCAGCAGGAGTGGGGCGGAGGGGCAAAGCTGGCCTGAATCTAGAGAAGAGAGAACATGGCCAAGAATTATCCAGGTAGAAGAAACAGAGGAATCTAAAGGGGGTGTATGTCCAACCCCAACGGTACCCCAAAGACACAGTGGCAATGAGGCTTTCTCTGGCCTAGTCCTCCAGCAAATTCCATCACTGCTGAGGGACTGGGCACCATTTCAGCCATTCTCAGAGGCAGGCCGCCCAGGCCAGGCATGCTGGCCACAGGCTCTTGACCTTGACTGCCCTCTGCTTCTGGGCCTGGCGGTCTCCTCACTCAGGCTCCCTCAGCACAGCAACCAGCTCTCTCTGTTCTCTGTGTAGAGCCTGAAATCAATGGGAGACAACAGACAAACTGGGATCTGAGAAAACCCAAATCCTTGCCCTCCACTGTCCCTGACTCCAGGCCTGGGGTTTCCCCCAGGACAATATGGATGGAGTCTGTGGCTTAAGTCATGGCCCTGCAGAGCACGTTAGGATGAAGACACATTAGAAAGTCTGCACCATTTGGCAAGTATTTATAGCAAGCTGGGTTCTGTGACCGCCTAGGCTGGGCATCCCCAGAGCAGAGCCCATCTTCAGCAAGGGTCCCCAAAGTGGTCCTTCAATCCTCTGACCTCAACAGAGCTTTCTGGCGAGAAACTTTCTTGAATTAATTAAACTTTCAGTTGAGTTACAGACATGGAAATTGCCCACGTCAAACAACATGAAGGTCTGTAGCTGGAATAGGTGGGGCATGGCTTTAAGAGCAAAGGGCTTTGTCCCTCTTAGGA